ACTTTTCCATCCAGACCTTCAGGAACCTTGCCCCAAGTCCCAGGGACCATTAATGCACTCAGCTTTGGAGCTCCAGCTCCGGGGCTTAGCTGTCCCACTCACTCATTGGTGAATGAGTGCAAACTCATGTAATCCACTTTATCTAATAAGCCCCTGACCAGACTATTCTCATTCCATTTAGCCATACGTCTGGGCCCTAGGCATTTTTTTTCTGACTGGCCCCTATGCCTGGAATGCTTTCCCTCCTCATCGCTACCTCCTGGCTTCCCTGGCTTTCTTTAAGTCTAAGCTAAAATCCCATCTTCTATAGGAAGTCTCTCCCACTCCTCTTAATTTTGGTGCTTTCAGTCAATTATTTCTTACTTATCTGGTATATAGCTTGTTTGCATATATTTGTTTACTTGTTGTCTCCTCCATTCCACTGGGAGCTCTTTGAGAGCAGGGGGCTGTCTTTTGCCTTTCTTTGTATCCCCAGCACTTAGCACGGTGCCTGGCATCCAATAAGCATCTAATGATGCTTAATGACTGGCTGACTTTCACTATCAGCCACTTATTTTTCTGCATTTTCCTTCGGTCTTTTGTATCCATTTATAACTACAGTGTCAAAATTGACCCAATTCAGTTGCTCCAATATTATATTTGCCCTTTGTCAATCAGTACAAGTGGAAATTATATCTAGAGTACCACCAGCTTGGTTCTAGTTTCTGGACTAAGATTTGTGAAAGATCATGAGACTGAATCAGAGACGTTGTAGTATAAGTGGAGAGGTGATGGGCAGAAGGTGTATTGTAGAGATTACAGTGATAAGATCTGGCAATCCAGTGGATACAGGGAGTGAGTGAGGGTGAAGAGAAAAGGATTACCTCCAGGCTACAAATATGGGTGACAGTGGTGTCCTCAACAGAAATGGGACAGTTAGGAGGAGAAGCATCTGTCAGTCGATAAGCACTTATCAAGGTCTTCCTCAGTGCCAGGCACTGTGCTAATGAGGATGATACAAAGAGAGGGCAAGAACACAGCCCCTTTTTCCAAGGAGCTCACTCATATCCTAATGGGAGAGGCAACATATAAATAATTAGTTATATACAAATTAAAAATCCCTAGAAGGAAATCTGATCTGGAAGGCACTAGTAGCAGGGGGGATTGGGAGAGACCTCCTGAAGAAAATGAAATTGGAGTAGAGTGTTGAAAAAGGCCAAGGAATCCAGCAGGCAGAAGTGAGAAAGGACAGCATTCAAGGCTTATGGGATAGTCAATGCCAATGCATGGAGTTAAGAGATGGAGTGTCATATTGAAAAGAGCAGCAAACAACACCCCTTCTGTTTTCCAGAGCCAGGATTTCATGATCAATTATCTTGTAATGACAATGGCATACAAGTTCAGAAAAGCAAAAGGAACTCAAAAGGAATAAAAACACTAACAATGCAATGTATGTAGCCTGGCAACAAAACTTCCTCTCTTACTCCCCATACTGCTTTCTTGCTTATGGTGACAATAGCCCTGAATTCAACTGTTGCTTTCAGATGGTAAGTAAATAATTGCTATCAATGTGATGGCAACCAATGAAAGCGATTTAGTTCCAGGATTATTCCCTGCAGAGAATTTTCTGTGATACAACCAACTCCTGTAGGCCTTTCTTTGGAGTACAAACATGCTTTTGTCATACAAACCTCTGTTTTGTAATGTGACTTGTTGCATTCAAATTTTAGGAAAAAAATATTCCATGTAGGCTTTTTTCTTTTTTTTAAAAAAATATTATTATTTTTAACATTCTTTTCTTTCAAAATTGCATTCCAAATTCTTTTCCTTGTGCCTACCCCACTCCCACCCACTGAGAAGGCAAGAAAAATTATATCAATTATACATGTGAAATCATGAAAAATGTATTTCCATATTAGCTATATTGCCAAAAAAAAAAGAAATCAAGAAAATTGTACTTCAATTTGCACTCAGAGTTCATCAGTTCTCTCTCTGGAGGTGGATGGCATTTTTTCATCATGAGTCCTTTGGAACTGTCTTGGATCATTATATTGATCAAAGTAGCCAAGTCTTTTCCAGTTGATCATTATTACAACATTGCTATTACTGTGCACAAGGATCTTTTGATTTTCTACCTCAATTTGCATCAGTTCACATAGGTCTTGCCATGTTTTTTTCTTCTTTCTGAAACCACTCCCAGAACAAACCACTCATGTCTCATAGCACAATAGTACTCCATCACAATTATATGCCACAATTTGTTCAGCCATTCCCCAATTGATGGGCATCCCCTCAATTTCCAATTCTTTGCCACCACAAAGAGAGCTGCTATAAATATTTTTGCACATATAGGTCCCTTTCCTTTTTCTTGATCTCTTTGGGTTATAAACCTAGTAGTAGTGTTGCTGGGTCAAAGGATATGCACAGTTTTATAGCCCTTTGGGCATAGTTCCAAATTTTTCTCCAGAATGGCTGGACCAATTCACAATCCCACCAACATTTATTGTGTATCTCTTTTCCCTCATCCCCTCCAGCATTTGTCATTTCTGATGGATGTGAGGTGGTACCTCAGAGCTGTATTAATGTGCATTTCTTTAATCATTAGTATTTTAAACCATTTTTTTCCCATACGACTACAGATAGCTTTGAGTTCTTCTTTTGAAAACTGCCTAGCCATATCCTTTGACAATTTATCAATCGAGGAATGGCTGTGTACCACTCCAGGTGGGTCTCTACCCAGTGTCACAGACCTTTCCTGCAGACCTCTTAAATTGTCTTAGGCTGGAAAGCTGTCTCACTCTGACTTTTTGTTGGCTCTGTTGCTCAATAATTTGATTTGAAGAGTTATTTTCATGTTGTTTGGAGGTGAATGTTGGGAGAGTCCAGTTGGGCTGCTGCTTGTACTGCCACGATCTTCCATATAAGCTTCGCATGAATTATTTACTTAATAAATGATTACTGGATTGAATGGAGAGGGATATGTGTGTGTGTGTGTGTGTGTGTGTGTGTGTGTGTGTGTGTGTGTATAAACAGAGAGGGAATAGTACCTATTAAAGAATGTAAGAAAGGATTAGTTTGAGTAGGATGGCAGTGTCAATGGGGTGGGAAGCTAGGTTCATTTGAGACAGTGGCATCAAACTACCTTCCCTTTCAGAACAAATCTATTTATGGAGTACCTCCATGTGCCTGGAACTATTAAGAGAATCATTCTGGAACTGTGTAAAATCATAGCATGTTTCTAGAGTGGGAAGGGCCCTTGGAGATCAGTTAGTCCAGTCCATTTATTTCACTGTGGGGAAGCTGATTTATACACAAAAAAGGGAAGGAATGGGAGAAGTGTAGGGCTAAAGAGAGGAGAGAACTGAATTTGATGGGGCTAAATCAGAAGATTCAAAACTGGAAGGAAACTCAATGATCATCTAAATACAACTCCCTCATCTTTAAAGTGAGGAGAATGAAGCCCAAAGAGTATGAGTGACTTGCTGCAGAGCTAGTAAACAGTGGAGGTGGGATCTGATCCCAGGTCCTTTGACTCCAAATACAATCAGTCAATCAACAAACATTTACTGAATGAAATACATCAGTCCTACCCCAATTCAGTTCCATAACAGTGTCTCCCCTGCCTTTGAATTCTGGTTCTGCTCCTTACTATCTAGGTGATTTTGGGTGACTACTCTTTTTTGGACCTCATTTCTCTATTCCATAAGAAGGACTCAGTGGTCTCTGAGCTTCCCTCCAGCTCTGATCTACTCCATGTCCTTGTATTCTGTGTTGCTGGACACTGCCTGCATCTTTATTCCTCCTGTGTTCCTTGTTCTACCACTCTAGGGACTCTTTCTGCTCTGATGTCCTAACATTAGATGTGGTGAAGGCTCCTTCCAGCTCTAACATTCTATATTTTTAAGTTCACCTTTAGCTCTGATAGCCTGTGTTTAGATGTTCCTCTCCAGCATCACCCCTTTCTTGCCCTACTGTTCTATGTTCCTTGTTCCCACCCCCTATATACCAAAGGTGCCTTCCTGCCCTGATTTTGAATTCTTTGTTCCTCATTCTATCATCCTATGTTTCTAAGGTTTTCTCCTCCTCTAACTAGTTCTTGTTCTAACATTTTTATGTTCCTTGTTCTAAGACCAAATGTTTCCAAGGTCTCTCCCAGCTCTGACATTCTCTAATAAGAGCTTTCCCCCCCCTCTACTTTTCTCCAGTGCCAACTCTCACATAAGAAGGAGGTTTCAACATATGTATTGACTCTCCCTTAAACACCCTAATCACTCAGTTCCTTAATTTACTCACTTTCCATAAGCTACTCCTCCACTCTACCTCAGCCACACACACAAATATACCACCTTCACGTTAGAAAATTCTGAGATCTAATGATATCTGACAATGAACTTATTGGCTACTCTTCATCCTCTTGTGACCTCCAAATCCTTCGACCCTTCAATTCTCCCCCAGGCCATCAGCTCTATACAGTAGCCACTCTCCCTTCTTTTCTGCATCTTAAGAGTACTAAGACCCCTCCCAGGGCTTGGGTTCTGTTTCTAAAGCTTCTCTCTCCTCTCTGCTAAGACGTTCTAGGGTCTCAGCTGCCTTCCTCCTCCTGCGTTCTACGTTCTATGTTCCGATGTTTGGATTTCTAAGGACGCTTCCCACCGCTCTAACATTCTGAGACTTGGGCTCAGTGGGTTAGAGGTCCGAATCACTTAGTCCGACAGTTGGGGGGGGGCTGGCTCCTATGTAAAAGGGACACTTTCGTTCCTGGAGCTCTAAGGTCCTACAGAGCCCACCAGAAGGGCTCCCAGCTCTGACTCCGCAGCCTCTGACTAGCCCTGGCTGGGCCCGCCCGGATGATGCTCGGCGTCTGCCAGTCGCCGGGACAACCGCCTCTGGGCTGGGTAGTCCCCGCCTTTCCAAAGTGGGGTCATTGGACGATTGACCTCGGAGCTGGGCCAGCCGGCCTTTCCCCCTCGCTGATTGGAGAAGGCGGAGACTTCTCGTCCCGCCCCCTCGCGGGTGCCGGGGCAACCAATCCCCCAGCAACGCCCACCACACCAACCCACAGTGGCCCAATAAGTCCTCCATCCATCACGACCCTCCGTCACCATCCTACGGCCTATGTTGCTGTCGGTAGCAACACACACACTTGGAGCCCCCTTCTCGCTGTCCTGTGTGTGAGCATACCTCCAGGTGCCGCAGGCCCTCGGACTTCCTCCCCTGGCCTGGGCTGGGAGGTGACGCAGCCCAACCGTCGGGAGAGCCCATCGCCAGCAAGGCGTTGGCTATCCCAAGCATCCTTGGGTTAACCATGCTGAGCCCAGGAGAAGCGGAGCCTTCGTGAGCCCCCGGACTGAGGCTTTCCTCCCCTTGGGAGCAGTGAGAAGCCCCTCGTAGGACAGCTCCAGGAAGTGCTTGGAAGGACACCTGCCCTTGCCTCAGCTTGGGAGCAAGCTTGTGTGTGGGCAGGCGCCTACATCCCTGCAGCCCTACCATGCATTGCAGGTCTTACTTGTTGCTGGAAAAAGAATTCATGGACCTCCAAGAACAAGACCTATTTGTGAGTAGGAAGGATGGGTGTTGCGGGAGGAGGGGATGGTATTGCCTGCAGTGATCAGTTTTTTGTTTTTTTTTTTTAAATCTTGATGTTTTCCCTCTCGTCTTCATGGTGCAATAGCAGGAGCAGGGTCAGAAGTCAGAAGAGTCAGAAGACCTGGCTTCACATTTTGTTTTGTTTTGTTTTTTAGGCAATTGGGGTTAAGTGACTTGCCTAGGGTCACAGTTTGGTCTGAGGCCGCATTCGAGCTCAGGTCTTCCTGACTTCAGGGCTGGCGCTTTATCCACTGTGCCACCTAGCTGCCTCCTGGCTTCACATTTTGGCACCATGACTGTGGCACCTGTGTGACCTGAGATGAGTCACTTAAGGCTTCCCTTTCCTCATCTTTAAAAGGCAGAGGTTTGACTTGATGACCTCCCAAGTACCTTCCCAATCAAAATCTATGATCCTGCGTGTGGTCTTTCACAATCGGGTGGAAAGGCTCTCAAAGTCCAAATTGCAAAGATAGGTTGGAGCTGTCCAGCCATGGAACGGACTCCCACAGAGGAAGTGAGTTTCCCGTCACTGGAGGGTGAAGAACCACTTCTTATAGATTATCTAGATTGGAAAAAAGTACACAAGAGAAGGCTCATTGTAAACTGGAAATCACTATAGAACATCAGCTATTATTAGTGCTACTATCTTGTAATCCAATTTCCTTATTTGACAAATAAAGAAACTGAGGTACAGGGAGTTGTTGTAGAAGAGACAAATGATTCAGTTATGAGTTGGATTGTATGACCTCTTAATACCCTTCTTTTTACGCTATTCTAAAGAGTTCTTCCATTGAGTATCTTGGGCTGGATTTGTGATTTTTTTTTGGTGTTGGGAACTGCCAATGAACAAACTGCTGCTGCCAAAGCAAATGAGCATGTGCTTTATAATCTATAGTCTTAGAGAGTAGCCTAGGGAAGTGAAAGGGTAAGTGACTTACCCCAAGTCACACAGCTATATATCAGAACCCACGTCTTCCTGACGCCAAGGCTGGCCTCCTAGCCACTGAATCTGCTGCCTCTCAAGTCAGGCATGTGGTATTTAAGCCCTATCTGAACGCAAGAGCACTTGATTTCAAGTTTTTTCTCTATTATATTCTTCACCTAAATAGTAGCACCTATACGTCAATGCCACTGTGTAGCTTTAAAGACTTCTACTCCATTGGACCCTAAAGCCACCAATTGTTAAGCAAGGTAAATGATGGTCACTGGCAGGCCTTAGACAAGAGCTGAAGAGGAGGAGGAGAAGGAGCAGGAGGAGGAGGAGGAGGAAAAAGAAGAAGAAGAAGAGAGAGAGACACAGAGATATAAAGATAGAGAGACAAAGAGAGACAGAGAGAAGTGAGAATGGAAAAAAGAAGGGGTTGGCAACCATAAATTAGAGCTGGAAAGGCCTTCAATCCACTCCTTCCTTTTACAAAAGAGGAAACTGAGGCCCAGAGAAAGGAACTCTCAGATAGTGTCAGTCATTTGGTAACTGGCATTTATTAAGAGCTTACTCTATGTCAGACACTGCCCTGAAGTGGTGCTGTGCTAAGACACGTGCTAGCATATGAAACCAGATTGTTTGATTCGAAACTCCGCACTTTGTCTAGTGCCACCTTCCTCCATTTCAATGGGATGACACCAGCAAGTACCTCAATGTTATCCCCGGATGGGGCTGGCATGTGGTCTCCCTAACCTGCTTTTTAGAGCACTGCATCCATTAAGGCTGTGAGGGATTCTGCTATTGTTACTGATCTCAGGATGGTGCTAGAGGAACCCAGAAGGCGGCAGAGTCCAATGTGCCAAGTGGGAATTTGTTGGCCCTCTGGTGAAAAAGAACATGAAATGTTTTAAATTGTGTTATAACACAAACATCACTGCACTTTGAAATTCCCAGAGGACTTTCCTTGTCACAGCTGTAGGAGGTAGGGAATAAAAGTAGCACCTTCATTTTAAAGATGAGAAAAACTGAGGCTGAGAGGTGATTTACTCAAGTTGTACAGACATACCGTTCAAACTAGGGTTTGAACTCATGTCTCCTCAGCCCAGTTCAAGGGCTCAGCATCTTTGTTAACAATGATCTATGATGAATGAATCTATGGATCAGATAGCCTGACATACGAAAAATGCTTTAGAAGCCTTAAAGTGCTCTCTAATGCTAGCTATTAATAGTAAAACCTTGCATTGTGTGGAATCCTCAATGACTTAAAATACCTAGGAGGCAGCCAGGCAGTGCAGTGAATAGTGTGCTGGACCCGGAGCTGGGAAAACTTGAGTTCGATCCAGCCTCAGATGCTTACTAGCTGTATGACCCTGGGCAAGTCACTTAATCTGTCAGCCTCAGCTTCTTCAACTGTAAGGTGGGGATGATGACAATTCATTTACCAGGGTGTTGTGAAAACAATAATAGTAGGAGTAGCAGCAGCAGTAGTAGCAGTAGGAGTAGTAGTAGGAGTAGTAGCAGCAGAAGTAAGCAGTAGCGGGAGTAGGAGTAGTAGCAGATCAGCAGCAGTAGCAGTAACAGTAGCAGCAGCAGCCACACTAGTAGTAGTTGTTATAGTAGCAGCAGCAGCAGCAGTAGCGGTAATAGTAATAGTAGTAGTAGCAGCTAACATGTATGTAGTACTTACCATGTGTCAGGCAGCGTTCTAATTGTTTTACAATTTTTATCTCATCTGATTCTCACATTGCAGACCTTAAGGTATAAAATCTAATTAACTTTTAAAAAAAGTATAAAGTTTTTAAAATGTGTCTTTCTTGGTAAATATATTTCACTTCTTGTAGTACATTTACTCCAATTTAAAGAGGAGTTTGCTGAGTGTTTGAAAAAATACGCATATAAAAAAATCTCATTTTTTGATTTGAGCCATCATTGACCATAATTCTGAATTTCTGTGATTATAATTTTTTTCAATTTAATTTTAATCATTCCTCATATTACCTGTGTGACCTTTGGCAACTTAATTAACCTCTCTGAGCCTCAGTTTCCTCACTAGTAATAAAGGCATTAGGCCAGGTGGGCCTCTTCCATTTCTGAATCCATCATCCTATGTACATGGTGTTGGTTTGGTTCTGGGGATACTCAAATTCTCTAATGGGCCTGGGATCTCTTCAGTTTGGGATTTCCCTTCAAAGACGCAGATCACAACCCATCCACGTATGCCATCCTTTGTGGCTTCCATCCATGTCCTTTCAAATTCAGAGTAGGGGTCCACCAACCTTCTCATTCATCCAAAGAGTCCCAGTGGAGAATGTTGGCTTTGTTATCTGTCTCTGTTGCCAGTGACCCAGGCAGTGGGGATACGAAGACAAAATCAAAACAGACCTTATCCTCAGGAAACTTATAATCTAATTTTGAAGTATCTGAATTGGAATGCAGTGTGGTACAGGGAAAGGAATGCTGACCTTGAAATCCCAGCCCCTGTGTTTGAATCCTGCATCTGCCATGTATTCCCTATGCATCCTTGGGCAAGTTACATACCTTACGTGGGGTTCAGCTTTCTCATCTGTAAAATGAGGGCATTTAATTAGATGATCTCTAAGACCCCTTTTAGCTCTAGATGTAACAATAACAATGATATTATATAGGCAGCTAGGTGACTGTGTAGATAGAGTACTGGACTGGAGTCAGGAAGACCTGAGTTCAAATCCAGTTTCAGATCCCTCCTACCTATCTGACCCTGGGCAAGTCACTTAGTCACTGTTTGTCTCAGTTTGCTCATCTGTAAAATGGGGATAATAATAGCACGGACCTCAAAGGGTTACTGTGAAGATCAAAGGAGATAATATTTGAAAAGTGCTTAGCACAGCCCTTGGCCCATATGTAAGCTCTGTACAAATGTTAGCTATTATTATTATTGACAATTAATAATGATAACAATAATAATAACTAGCATTTATATAGTGCCTTAAGCTTTGTGTAGCTCTTACCATATGTCACCTCATTTGATCCTCACAGTAACCTTTTGAGGCAGGTGCTATTATTATCTCCATTTTTCAGATGAGGAAACCATTGCTAAGAAGTGCTGAGTGGCTTGCCCAGGGTCACACTGCTAGCTAGTTGATTTTGCCATGAACAGGAAATCTTAAGCATAAACATGTATCAGACACAGGCCAGGGCAAGTCATTACTGTTCATTTTAACATTTGAACACTTGTAGTTTGCTTTTCTGATTGCTTTGTTGTTTTTTTCCTTATCGAAGGGCATAACTGTGACTCCACTAAGTAATGATTTACTCAAATGGCTAGCAGAAGTTGAAGGCCTGAAGGATACAGTTTGGGAAGGTTTGTGATTTCCTATTAAGAAATACTAGCACATCTTTTAAGTTTTCTTTTTAAAATACATTTTATTGCTCTTTGGTTTTTATGTCACAATCATTTCAACTCCTCCCTACCCATAGGAAAACCAAGCAAGAACCTCAGACATGGCACTTCCACCTGGTGCCGTACCCAGCATTCTGTCCGCTCTGGGATGAGGGGTTGGGGGGAGGGGCAGGAGCTTGGGCTTTGTTATCTGTTCTCTGGAACATTCAGTGGCTTTGCGATTACTCAGAATTTGACTTCTTTTCAGCGATCTTTTCCATTTCTATTACCATTGTCTCTATTGGTCCTAAATATTTAGCTCTGTACCAGTTCATGAAAATCTTTGAGTTTCTCTGAATTTCTCATATCTGTCATTTTTCTCTGCACAATAACATTGCATGTCATTCATATGCCATAGTTTTCTTTTTCAGTCATTCCTCAACTGATAGGCACCCATTCCTTGCCCCTTTCCTAACACAAAGATCTCTGCAATGAACATTTTGGCATATGTAGGTGCTTTTTCTATCCTTGACCTCCTCATGGTATAGATCTAGTGGTAGCATTTGTTAGGTCCACTGGTGTGGACAGTTTAACCAATTTTCTGACGTAATTCCAAATTGATAACAATTAGATCACTCCACAGTTCTGCCAATAGTATGATAATGGGACACATTTTATTAAATGTCTGTTATGACCAGCACACCTCACTGGGCACCCGAGGGAGCAACATCGAGGTAAGACCAAGGCCCTGCCCTCATGCAGCAGACTATGCAGAACAGCATGTACACAAGTCACCCCAAATCCCAAGTGAAGTAGAAATGAGTTCAAGAGGCCCCACTACTTAATAAAAAATAGCATGCTGTAAAATTAGAAAATACCATAATACTTCAAAGCATCTATTATGCCATCCCTGCAGATGTTTCTTTCAAGAATGAAAGTCCAAATGCAGCCATGCCTTACTATCCTGTATGATTGCTTCACCCATAGGTGTCCCTCCAACATGGCGGATGACTTCTATTCCACCTCTTAATGAGGCATGAGTAATAATGGATCAGAAGTGCTGTCCAATGGCCATCCATTGCTCTTGCTATATGATTAGCCCTTCCCCTGCTTCTTGTCGTGTATTTCTCTGATTGTATGCATCAGAGATTTTTCATCAGAATTTTCAGATACCATGAAGGAAATTTTAAAAGCTGTCTGATGAACACTTGTCTCATTTGATCACAATTTGGATCTTGAAGATGTCTTATCTTTACTCACTGCATTTTTAAAAAAATCTCAACACTGTAAATCACATCTAAGACAGGGAATACTTTTTAGCCATCTGGGTGAACAAAATTCCCATAAAATTGTTGATCTTCTTTCATAGTTTGGATTTTCCATTTTAAAATGGAATGAAGAAAATGAAGAAAATAGAGGAAAGCCTCATTAATCTGGCTTTCGATGATTTGGAGTGTAGGTTAATTGGGGGCATTGAGCTATTTTTTTAAAATATCATTTTTAACACAATTAGAAAGAGGTTTATTTTAAATTTAAGATTAGGAAGAATGTAGTTTTTCTCCTTGCTTCCCACAAAGTTCTGCTGACTATCCTAGATTTACATATGAAAAATAGCTCCTATTACGAAGAAATATATAGCAATGATATAGATAGTTGGAAAAGAAAATCCATAGCACCAGACAAGAGAGTGGGCCCAGACCCTCTCCATCTTTCTTGATTCTAAGGAACCTGCCCTTACTTGTATAGGGGAGTCATATTAACCCCCAAATTCATCTCCCTGGAGTTGGCAAAAAAGGTCAGTTGATCACCAGGTCTTCAGTAGCTAAAGAGAAGGAGCATAGGGCAGGCCTTTGCTCTTTGTCCTTCCCTTGCCCATACCTAAGTGATCATTGCCAGGTCTCAGTATTTATTGATGCCAAAGAGACTGACACCATGGAACTGGGGTAACCTAGGCAGTAGTACACTGAGTAGTGAAGCCGTATTGACGACAAAGTGAGCAGCGTCATATTTGGTGTAGAAGCTGGCCAAGAGGTAGAGCACAATGGGAGAAATACTGAGGAACTTTCTGGAGCAGGTGAACTGGAGCCCGTAGTCCATTGGGTATTACCTTGGTTGGGGGTCTCAAAGGGTGTCCCCTTCACAGCGTGCAGAAAGACCTACATAGCCAGGCTATGGATGACGTTGGTCAAGGTCCAGACAACAGGGACGCTCAGTAGAACCACATGCAGAAGCCTTCCCAGCAGGCTAGCCAGATGCCTCAGCTGTTCATCACTGCTGTGTTGGGGCCACCCCCACACTCATCCTGCCACAGTGGTGAGTCAGGAGCTCAAGCCACCCTAGCTTCTCTTTCCTTTGCTCTGACTCCCCCAGTTACTGTTTTGGTGACTGCAGTGAACCTTGAGCTTGGCGGGAGAAGGAGAGGAAGGCGCCTCTCCAGTATGCTGAAGCCTCTTCCACCGTTGTCTCCTGGAAGCAGCCCTGCCCTTGTACTGTCCTCCTTGGTCTCCCACCCCCGGCACTGCTGGTGCTCACTGGCCCATTTTGGTGTTCGGCATTTCTGTTAGCCAGCGGCCCTGCCACTCTCTATTTTTTTCCTTTTGAACTATGAATTTAATCATTAACATACATGAACATTTCAATATACCATAAAGAACAACAACAAGAAAGATTAAATAAGAAACTATGAAGTTTTGTCATGTGCTGTTTTTCTAAGTTGAGCCCCGCTGTAATAAAATCACACTGTTGATATTCCCTCTTCTGGGCCTCGGGTCCTCCCTTCTGTGTATTTTGGGCACTATTTGTCATGAAAGGTCCACAAAGGGGGCAGAGGGAGGACAGAGTCATTCCACTCTTACTGGAGAAACAGCATTTGTGAGTCAGCCGATCTGGACGGTGTGACTTTTGTTTCTTTATCCCAGGATTTACATTCCCATTGTTGATGAAGTTCTCGGTGGACTACAACAATGTCCCTCCAGTTGTGGCATTTAGCCCTATTCCCTTCCATCCCAATGGTAAGACACAGATGGGTGAGTAGCAAAGCAAATCTTCTGCCATTGGCACCATTACTCCTTGTCTTTCCAAGTCCCTCCCTTTTATACTAGACTAAGTCTGGTCCTTAGCACCTCCCATCTAAATTATGGCCACAGCCTCCCAATTGGTCCCCTTATTGCAAAATTTCAATTTACTTTCCATTTCCATTTTCATTCCAATCTACTTTCTATCCAGCTGCAAAGTGATTGTCTTTAAGTGAAAATTCTACCGGGTCACTCCCTTACTCCACTAATTACTTTAAGGGGCTTCTTCTTATCTCTGGATTTACCCTCTGTTTGGCTTTTACACCCCTTCCCAACCTGGTCCCATCCTACCTCTACAATCTCAGTATGCATTACTCCCTTCCCTACATTCATTGGCCCAGGCAAAATGGCTTTTGCCCGTCTCCCATTTCTCCCTGCCTCCCTCTTTATCTCTGCCTCACAGAATCCCTCTCTTCTTTCAGAATGGAGCTCAAGTACCCCTTTGTACACGGAGCCTTTCCTTATCTCCCAACAGTTCCCTAAATACCTTATATTGAACTTCTACGTGCTCCTATATGTATGTTTCTCTTTGGGCAACCCGGAAGCTGCTTGAGAGAAGGAATTGTTTTGTGTTTTGTATTTGTACCTCTAATATCTAGTAGGGTGTCTGGCACAAAGTAGCTATTTAATCATTACATTTTTATTGAATGTTGACACTTTCTTTTATTTGTTTTTCAAACAGTTGACCCCAAATCTGGCCGACCATGTATAGATTTTCTAGATAGCCCTGATCATTGGGATACTAACTATACGCTAAGTAGCATCTTACTTTCTATTCAGGTAAGAAAAGACTAATATAATTTTTCCTTTAATTTTTGAAATTTTCATTTCACTAGTCACCTAAAGTATAAAAAAGATTATATTTAAATCATTAAAAAAAAATCTGTGATCAGACCACGGAGTTGGGCCTTGGGTCCACATGGATAAAATGGGGGGAGGGAGCACTTTGCTGTTGGGGTATTGATGGTGATGAGGTTGCTGGACAAGCACAGAGAGCATCTTATTGTCATTCCCTATGCTGCGAGGGCCTCCAGAAAGACTCATAGATCACTGGAATGGAAGAAGCCTCTGCTGGTTACTTCAGCTTTTAGTCCCTGCCCTAAAAAAATCATTTGCTGTTTATTTTGTGAGTATTCCATATGGACTTAGCTGTGTACATGCTATATTCAATAGAAGGCAAGCTCCTTGAGGGCAGGGACCTTTTAAAAAAATTGTTGAACTATTGAAAGCCATGATCAAAAAAAGAGCCTTGACATCATCTTTCAAGAAATTATCAAGGAAAACTGCCCTGATATATTAGAACCAGAGGGCAAAATAGAAATTGAAAGAATCCACCAATCTCCTCCTGAAAGAGATCCCCAAAGGAAAACTCCTAGGAAAATTGTAGCCAAATTCCAGAGTTCTCAGGTAAGCTTCCAGAAAGAAACAATTCAGGTATTCTGGAAACACAATTGGGATAACACAAGATTTAGCAGCTTCTACATTAAAGACCACAGGGACATGGAATATAATATTCCAGAGGGCAAAGGAGATAGTATTACAACCAAGAATCACCTACCCAGCAACACTGAGTATAATCCTTCAGGGGAAAAAATGGTCATTCAGTGAAATACAGGCCTTTCAAGCATTCTTGATGAAAAGACCAGAGCTGAATATAAAATTTGACTTTCAAATACAAGACTCAAGTGGAACATGAAGAGGTAAACAGGAAAGAGAAATCATAAGAGACTTATTAAGGTTGAACTGTTTACATTCCTGCATGGAAAGATGATATTTATAACTCCTGAGACCTTTGTCAGTATTAGGGTAGTTGGAGGGAAAAAAAATTTTCAGTTCTCTCTCCTGGATCTATTTTCCAGGTCAGTTGCTTTGCAAATGAGATATTTTACATTGTCTTCTATTTTTTCATTCTTTTGGATTTGTTCTACTGTGTCGTGATTTCTCATAAAGTCACTAGCTTCCAATTGCTCTATTCTAATTTTTAATTAAGTATTTTCTTCAGCAATCCTTTGGACTTCCTTTTCCATTTGGCCAATTTTTCTTTTTCGGGAATTCTTCTCCTCATTGGCTTTTTGGACTTCTTTTGCCATTTGGGTTAGGCTATTTTTTAAGGTGTTATTTTCTTCAGTATTTTTAGCAAGCTGTTGACTTGTTTTTCATGATTTTCTTGCATCACTCTCATTTCTCTTCCCAGTTTTTCCTCTACTTCTCTTACTTGCTTCTCAAAATCCCTTTTGAGCTCTTCCAAGGCCTGGGACTGATCCATATTTTTCTTGGAGGCTTTGGATGTAGGAGCTTTGACTTTGTTGTCTTCTGGTTGCATGTTTTGATCTTCTTTGTCGCCAGAGTAAGATGATATAGTCTGACTCTTTTTGGGCTGCTTGCTCATGATCCCGGCCAGTTACTTGAGTTTTAAACTCTTTGTTAAGGTACAACTCTGCTTCCAATGTGGAGAATGTACTGTCCCAAGCTTTGGAGGGTTTGTACAGCTGTTGTCAGAGATACTTGTAGGGACCTGTAAATTTTCAGTTCCTCCAAGGTGGTATGATAAGGGGCGAGGTGTTTACTCCTTTCCTGGCCTGTGCTCTGGTCTATTAGTGACCACAAGCACTTCTTTCTGTCCTGGAACTGTGAGGTGGGTTTTCTCTCTACAGCCACTACAAGCTTCACCAAGCCAGTGCTCCTCCTCGCCCCAGGACTGCCACCCAGGACTGTCACCCAGATCCAAGCATGGGCAAAGCAAGAGATTCCTGCCTCAGCACTGGCAAAGAGATTCCTGCAATCCCCCTCTGACCAGCCACTGGATTCCCCCTCAGTCTATGGGCCTGAACCTCAGGAGGCAGCCTTTGCCCCAGGCCATGCTCAGGGAATGGAGCTGAGACTACCTCGCTCCTCTCTTAGCACCACAGAAGCAGACTTTTCCCACTGACCTTCAAAGTTGTCTTTGGCGTTTGTGTGTTGAGAAGTCTGGAAGCTTCCATAGCTACCCAGGATTCAGTCCTCTGAAGCCTGCTCCAAGTTCGCCACGGCCTGCCTGCCCACACCAAGCTGCGCTCCTTTCCCTGCCCAGCGCGATATGATGATTGATCATCCAGGTTGTCTTGGGCTGGAAGGCTTCACTCTGTCTTTTTTATGGCTTCTGCTGCTTTAGAATTTGTTTAGAGCCATTTTTATGGGTATTTGGAGGGGTTTGGGGGAGAGCCCAAGCAAGTCACTACTTTCACTCCGCCATCTTGGCTCTGCCCCGAAAACAATCTTTTTTTTTTTTTAATCATCTTTCCTCATCAGTGAAGTGAGGGCATTGGGCCAGGTCATAGGATCATCAGAAAACTGGGACGAAGAAACTGAGTTTCAGAGCAGCCAAGAGAGTTGCCCAAGGTCACACGACCTCTAAAGGCCCCTCCAACTCTCGTTCCATGAGCCATTTTTCCTTTGGAAAAACAAAATCTGCACTCAGCATTTTCCTGACAAGGCTTCGACAGTGTCTTCATTGTTATTTTCAAGTTTTCTTCAACCATCACTAAATATGTCTTAAGCACTTTCAGCAAGTTAACTGAGTAGACTAACCATTCCCCCTTACTGCCTTGCTTGTTCACTTTGCTGAGCCAACTCCCCTTTGCTTATATGTTATACTAGAGGAAGAGCCTGCTTAAGCCATGTCCAGAGAGCATAGATTCCAAGTCCACATAAATTCATGAGACTTAACTCTATTAGGGCAAATCTTGCCTGTTGATTTAATTGTACCTCTATATATCAGATAATTACCTTCCACACTTCTAAATATTCCCTCCCTCAAAATTGTCTTTTTGTTTCTGGCTATAAATACAGGGTCAACTTCTAGATGGAACTCCCATCTTTTCAAGAAGCCATGAGGAATTATAGTGGGACACATCTGTAATTGATACTTCTAATTTTTGCTACTATTTTTTCATCATTAAGTATCATTACTTAATGGTTGATGTCTAGGTTATAACTGGGAAGGGGCAGTTAGGGGTCTTTGGAAAAGAGGATAGCTCAAAGCATGCCAAGTAAACTTTACCAGATGTGTCTCTCCATGTCAGATGGCTGCTACTCTCTCTCCCTCCCCTGCTTCTTTTTAAAAAGACAAATACCCCAAACCGTTCTCTTAGAGACAAGTTTCATCTGTTTCCTGCCCACTTTGAAAGATATGCTCCTATCTATTCAAAACTTTTATTTAAGCAATGATGAGGTGCCTGTTGGAAAAGCATCTGAATCCATTTTCCAAACGGGAACACACTAATGACAGCAGTAGAGCTCCTAGAAGATAATTTTTCCCCTTGCTTTTGGAAAACCAGATGCTGATTTTAATCAGAGAAATATTGTCATTATTTATATAGCTCCTGTCAGGGGTTAATGGAGGCCCTGTCTACACTACGGTTCTTTCAATAGCTTCCACCATGACCACATTTTCTCTGTACACTTTTGCATGTTAAAATGCATGCCATATACAGTTCTGATTTTTAGAATAAATATTTGCCTTTGGGGCAGCCAAAGACCATTTTCTTTATGATGGAAAAAACAGCCCATGGCCTCATTGAACTGATGAGTTCTGTTAAAGCTGCCAGGAATTCATGTGATTTGTCCAAAAGCTCTGCAACAGAATCAATGAAACAGCCTTTGGAAGGGGATTTAAGATACCCTTAACAGGCCATAGAATATAAGCCCCTTGAGGGTCAGAACACTGTTTTGTCTTTGAACTCAACAGTCTATCACAATGTGTGGCTGGCACACAAAAGACATTTCTTAAGTCTTGGCGAAATCCAGTTGTGGAATGGAAATGGAGCAAATAGAGTAATTGTTCACAGAGTCACAAACTCTCAGATCTAGGACCAAAATGAACCCGAGAAGTCACCAGACCCAGCTTGCTCGTTTTATAGATGTGAAAACTGAGGTCAGGGGGGCTAAGTATATTAATATCCATAGAATCACACTGTGGTTAGAGCAATGCTTCGTCTTGTGAATTTAAAACTTTCATTTAAGTAATGAAGTTCTATCAATTTTGTCTTAACATAGTTATACCCTCACAATATAGACAAGTTAAATATAAAATCTGGCAAAACATTCCAACTCAGGAAGAAAATGTAGTTCATTGTAGAAGAGGATTAACTGTTTTCTGGTTGGCCCCAGGGGACAGAACCAGAAATAGTGGGTAGAAAGGACAAAGAGGCCATTTTAATCTTGAGGTTCATTGATACCAGAAAACAAAACAATTTCCTAATAATCTAAGCTGACCCAAAGTGAAATGGGCTGCCTTGCGAAATAGTGTACTCTCCTTACTGAAAGTTGGATGGCCACTTGACAGGTAGGTAGTAGAAGAAATTCTTGGTCAAGTAGGGGTTACACTAGATGGCCATCAAGTCTAAAATGATTCTGTGATGGCTGCGGCTCAGCACAACTCAATCCATTTCCCAAATAATCCACATCAATTTTACAGAACATAGTAGGAGAGGAACTTGTTTTGTTTTCAATATTTGGTTCATGGATTTATCAGGTCAAATGGAGGCTGTTCATTTCCATTTGACCCCCTCTCCCAGCCCTGGTAGATGATATATTAATGCACTGAGGAGGGGGGAAGGTTACTTATAAAATTTTCTACCTGCCCTGTTTGTCTTCCTCCAGGTTATGCTTTGTAATCCAACATTAACCAATCCAGTTAATGTTGAGGCAGCAAGAGTGATGTTAGAAGACATGTCTTTGTTCAATGAACTAGCCCTGAAGTCTCTCTACCACTCCAGCCCTGCAGATGGTAAAAGAAAAAAAATTACTGTTATTATTTAGACATATTGATTATTATTATTATCATTAGAGGAAAAACATTTTAGTAAATATGAGTCATAGGTGAGAAACAATATGACTTTGTGATTTTAAGCTCAGAATTGGGAAGAGAATCTTCATCTGTGTGAATGGTGGCAACATATTTTTGAGCTCAGTCTTGCCATCAGAGAGTTGGTGGGTTGATAATCATTTATTAAACATTTAGTGCTAGTACTGGGGTTGCAAAGAAAGGCAAAAATATGGTTCTACTTATGTTACCATTGGGAAGATAACATGGGGAAAATACGTCCATACAGTCTGTGCAAATGGAAGATAATCTCAGAGGGAAGGCAGTAGGGAGTGTGGTCAGGGAGTGAAGGGCAGGTTCTGTGCGGATGATGGGATGACCTGAACTTTGAGAGAATCCAGGGAAGCCAAGAGGCTGAGGTTAAAAAAGTAATTTCTCATAAACCAGTAAAGGTCATCCAAACATCGGGCCACAGGCTCATCAGAGACACAGAAGCATCAGTTGCTGCAGTTCCACTGGAATGTTTCAGTCATATCATGTGCTCACCATTGTGGACATCCCTCCAGTGGTGTTGATTACACTCCTTGCCATCGTGTCCTAGTCTTGTCTGGGACCTTGAGTGAATATCGGCCGAATGCCTCCAAGTCTTTTCCCGGGAGGGTTCTGGCTCCCCTGTGTTCTGCACTGGCAGCTTGTGAGCTGCTGTCCAGCTCTGAGGGCCGATGATTCCCATCTCTGCCTCACGAGCACGTCATGGCTCCAGCACAGTGCTCCACCAATGACACACGGGCAGAAACCTGAGGGTGAAATCTTGCTTTGAGAGCAAGGGAACATCCATTGTGGAGGAGTGAGTTGCCTTGTAGCAGAATGAATGCTTCAGTGGGGCCAGAAAGGCTGGACAGCCACACTGGTGATAATGTTATCCGTAATCTGGCCGAGGTAGGCAACAACTCAGTCTAATTAAATGAGCATTTCTCAAGCACCTGCCATGGGCCAGGCATGGAACTAGGGGTGGAGAAAAGAAAAACAAAAAAATGAAACAATCTTTGCTGTCAAAGAATCGTTCTAGGGTGTCATTTGTAGTGTAGTAGAAAGAGCTTTGACTTTGGGGTCCATGGACCAGGGTTCAAACCCCGCCCCCAACCATTCATACTAGCACAGGTCATTAGTCTCTTGGGGCCTCAGTTTCCTTATTTATAAAAATGAGGGGTTTGGGGTAGGTGCCTTGTAAGGTTCCTTTGAGCTCTGTGACTTGGTGATTTCTGGAATATGTTGTAGTTTCTGTGATAAGGCTCCTCTTTCCTGATTAGAGGTAGTTTGAAACACTCTATGGGAAAGATGGATTTGTTGAGGGGAAATACAGGCCCTACCCTATTGGTCATTATTTTTGTTTTCCAACATCCTTGGAGATTCTTCATTTTTCTGTGACTTGACTGGATACCTGTGGAGAGCTGAGCTACCTCCAAGTAAGGGTACTGAGCCTCAGATGTTACCTTCATTGTACCTTTCCCAGATCAGACAGTTTTCCTGGGCTGTAGACAGAATCCATGAAAACTATGTCTGGGGAGGCTGACTCAGGATATTCTCTAACAGATGGCCTTCCAGAGTCTGCAGGAGTTGACATGGGGACTGTGGCATCCACCCTTTTCCCAAGAACCATAAATTCTCTGAGTTGTCATTTCCTAGAGGTAGTTTCAGCAAGAGCCTGATGGAAAGTCTTGGAAAGCTGAGAAAGAGCCTGCAACTTGTCTTCCTGACTTCTCTCTTTCTAACTGCTCACAATCATGAACTGACTGTCCAAGCGCTCACAATCATGTGTTCTAGAACCCTGCTAGGAATGGAAGTGAAGCTCAGGGGACTCTAGCTTGCAGCTTGTACTTGCTTTTTGTGAAAAGTAGAACTGACTGGGCTGTTCTCCAACAGCTTCCTAGTTAGCCCTGTGGGATCTTACAGAGATCGCTCATAGATGCTCTGCAATCCTACTTGTAGCTCTTTCGGTACATACACTGGAAGGTCATTGGTCTAGAACTGGTGAATTGCATAACTCAGTATTATGAGTATTTATAAAGGTCAGCAGTGGTCACCATAAACCATGATAGACTCATCAGAGACAGGTAAGACCAAGCTAACTTCATTTCCCTTTAAAAATTATTTTTGATCAGGTAACTACTTTGGTTGACCCAAGGATTGTGATAGATAGACAATGTCTGAGCAAGATTTGAGCAAAATATTGCATAGAATTTCTCGGGTTATATTTGTAGATACAATGGAGAGATGTGGAGGTATATGATAGTGAGAGTTTGACAGATTTTAAACTTGTTAAAGAACTGGGTCCAGCAAGATGAAATCTAAACAGTATTAAATACAGTGCTAAAAAGTCCCTTTGGGCTAAAAAAAAAAAAGCAAATGCACAAGTATTCAAGATGGTGAAGGTGTCGTTTGGCAGCCATTCACACAAGAAAGATTTAAAGGTCTGACTTGATTGTGTGTGGCTAGGAAGAGGGGCTAATGAAATCTGAGGCTGAATTAATTAGGAAGTCTGCTGCCCTGATCGCATTAAAGAATCATTCCATTACACTGCACCCATCAGGCCCATCCAAACTATGGATTTTGCCCCTGCCCACACATTTTAAAGACTTGACAAACTGTAGCCCACTCAGAGGAGGGTGAAAAAGACGAGAAGTAATAAGGAGTTGTCTGTCAACCCTGCTGGGGAGAGGAAGAGGCATACTAAGCATTTATTGTCTCCTTATGTGCCAAGTACTGTGCTGAGGGCTTTACAAATATTATCTAATTTGATGTGGTCCCATAAGAAATGATGGGAAAGCCTGAATTGTTTAACCTTGGAGAAAAGATGGCGTGATAGCTGTCTCCAGCAATTTAAAAGATGTCATCTAGGAGGTATAAGACTCATCCTATGTTCCCCCAGAAAACTAAAGTACGACCAATGATATGGATACGCAAAATTCCACTGAACAACTGGTAAAAAACCAACCACCTAATGAACGTTACCAGTGATGGAATGCCTTGACTCAGGAAAAGGAAGCTCTTTGACACTGGAGGCGTCCTAGCAGCAAGGAGCTGAACATTTATCAGACCTGCTAGGGTCAGACGCCCCTCCTAAAGCATTAGAAGCTGGACCAACTGATGCCTAATGTCCCTTCTGACTCTTCAGTTCTGTGATTCTCTGCACTTCCCACAGTGCCTGGCATTTAATCAATACTTGTTGACTTGACTTTTTCTCTGAAAAAGAACTGGGAGGTTATTTAACTCAATTTTATCTAACACCTACTGTGTGCCAGGCACTGCACTAGATACTGGGGATGCAGTCCCTGCCCTGAAGAAACTTGCATTCTGTTGGGATGACATAAAGTTACAAGAAGAAGTGACTATTCATAGAGAAGGCCTCACATCCTGGAAAGAGCATTGGATTTGGAATCTAAAAAGCCTTGTTCAAGTTCTGGCTTCTAGTTGCTCCAAATGGTGCCAAATCACTTAAGCTCTCTGGGTGCTTCAGTTTCCTCAACTGTAAAAAAGCCAAAGTCAGGCTAGATGATCTTGAAAACTCCTTCCATCTCTATGTCCCTATTGGAACCACAGCACTTGGTTCCCATTCAATTGGTAACTGCTGGTAGATGCTCTGGGCACTGTCTCCATTCATTTCTATTTCATCTTTCATCAGCCAGCTGCCTGGGGATGTCCTCATTTTGAAAAAAAAAGGTTTCATGATAACAAAATGTTGTGGGGGGATTTCAGTTAGAAAGAATCTGTCTTCTATGTTGCCATCTTTGTGGGAAAATATTAATGACCTTCCTATGTTACACAATTATCTCAAGGCATGACGCTAGTAAAAACTTCAAGGTCTTTGCTTGCAGGAAGAGATGCAAAGAGAAGTCACAGTGTACAGAACTGGTGACACCATTTTTCTCTTGATCTTTTGTGGACATAAAGAGGCTCTTTACAATAAGTTTCAAAGACTTGTCTGGACAGACTCTGATAGTAATTGCAGTGTTGACAGGGGCCTTTGTAATAAAAGAATGGAAAGATATTATGAATGCATTAGGGAGATTATAAAAATTAATAGCATTACATACTGTCGAAAACCTGATAGCAAGATGAACACAGACTATTCTCTTTGTGTGTAGGAAATGCTGGATAGTGGACCTCTTCTTCTCCCAGTTCTTAGGCTAGGTTGAGGAAACCCTTGGAGCAATCAGACACCCAGAGGACAGGAGCAGGAATGCCCGAGCTCACAGCTCCTGAGATCTCCTAAGACCCCAGATATTCTCTGAGTTTTTTTCCCTTTTTGGTCATTTACCTTTGGCAGGAACAAAAATAAAAATATTCCCTCGATGGCTCAGAAAGAGAATTTTAAACTGGTCAAAGTTGACGTTTAAGCCCTAGTTCAGAAATTTTCAGGCTAGGAGGGGTTTTAGTAATTCATTGTTCATATGAACAACCCGATGCCCAGAGAGACCTGGTCACTTGTCCAAGTGGCAGATTTGAACTCAGATCTTCTGACCCCTTCTAGATCCGGTACTTTATCTACTTCTTAGAAACCCTGGTTTCTTTCAAGGTCCAGTTCTGGCATCACCACCTATAGGAAATCTTTCTGGGGCCCCCAAACTGCTAGTGACTTCCTTGTTGCTCAGTCATTTCAACCACATCCAACTGCCCATGACCCATTTGGAGTTTTCTTGGCAAAGATACTGGAGTGGTTTGCCATTTCCTTCTCCAGTTCATTTTACAGATGAGGAAACTGAGGCAAACAAGGTTAAGTGACTTGCCCAGGGTCACACATATTAAGTATCTGAGACTGGATTTGAACTCAAGTCTTCCTACCTCCAGGCCTGGTGTTCTGTCCATTGAGGTACCCCCTCATGGGGTAATGACTTACTATGCCCCCCAAGCCCCTCATATTTATTTAGTATTTACCTATGTGGAGATACACTTTGTGCCCCTTGTTGAAGGCCACAGCTGTCTCACTTTCATTTGTGCATCCCCCAGGCCCTTGGTACATGCCGATTGGTCAGTTGCTTTCCTTCCTCTTCCTTGTAAATTTCATGTTGACTCTCCACGCCTAGAAAATGAAGACCAGACCCTTCTGCCTAGCACCAAAGTTTTCCATAGCAGCGACCCTTTGTATCCATTCAACTTTGTTCAAAAAGATGGACATGTAGGTTTGATGTACAGAAAAATGTATCCCAGATGAAATGGGCTGACTTGGAAACATTGGCTCCCCCCTCTTGTGGGAGCTCTTGGAGCACTGGCAGGACCACCTCTTATCCAGTAGATTGTAGAGGGTGATAGGAGCTCTTTTTCAACAATGTGTTAGGATCAGCTCAACGGCCTCTGAGGTCACTTCCAACTCTGAGATTCTAGGATACTGGGCTTTTCTGTGATTCAAGCTTCCCTTATTCAGATTTACACTCCTGCCCAGTGGGCTCCCCCTCCTTTCTCAAACGCACCACATGCCGACACTGTGTGCCATTTTCCAGACCTCTCTCTCTCTCTGTCTAGCTTCTCTACTTATTTAAAACCTGCATAGTCTTCGGGGCTCAGCTCCAGTCCCACCTCCAAGAAACCATCCCTCATTGCCTCCGTCCATTGTCCCATCCCTTCTCGGAAGGTGTGCAGCACCCACTAGCACCAGCGCATAAAAGGGTATGACCCACATTTGGCCTCCATTCTCACCGCCTTTCACATTTACTAAAGGCTTATTTTGCTTTGTTCTAATTGATAGCTTGTGGAATCAACAAAGGTTTGAGACAACAGCAGGCCACCAGACTTAACTTTTACCCAACCTGCATAACTAACCACATTATCATCAGTTGAATTCAATTAAATTAATCAAATGATACATGCGTTACATGCTAATAAGTAGTACAATATAGAATTAGACAAAAATAGAAATGAAAAAGGATGGAGCAAATATGAAATAATATATAATCCTAGAATCACTGGGGAAACCACTGAGTTTCCTGAGTCGAGAAGTGACATGATTAGGCTGGCACCATTGAGAAATCATTTTGGCAATTGGGTGGACATTGGATTGCATTAAGGGACAGACTAGAGAGGGGATGAGGACCTGAACCACAGTGGTGCCTGTGGGGATATTGAGAATGGGATGTAGATGAGACATCCAGATGTGGCAACTGATTGGACAGGTGGGGTGCAAGAAAGGGAGAAACTGAGGATGACACTGAGGGGGCAAACTTGGATGCCTGAAAAGATGGAGGTGCTCTGGAGAGAAATACAGAAATTTGGGAAGAGGGGAACATTTGAAGGGAAAGATGGCGGAATGAGATCTGTTCTTCAGATGACCACTCCTCCATATCTACTCCTTCAGCTGGGATCACTATGTCTCACCCAAAAGAAAAAAGGAAGGGAGGCTCAGGGCTCTTACTTATTGGTACAGAGCCCAGCTTCTGAGCAGCACCATTCACAGGCATGAGGTGATATGGGGCAACAGGTGCTTATGCTGAGAAGGCTGGGGCAGAGGCTTTCCCAGTGGTCTCTGCTCATTGCCTATTGTAGGACCCTGGGGAAAAGCCAGGTTATAACCGACCTGAGGGACAGTTGGGCTTTAATGTAGGGAGGTTGCAAGCTTGCTCAGCAGAAGGACTGGTCTAGGAACTCAAAGTTTTAAAAATGAATGTTAAAAATTGTTTTTACATGTAACTGGGAAAAAACAAAATACTAAATAAAACTAAAAAAAAAAGAAAAAGTTGTGGTCTAAGTGGAGAAGCATTCTAGGATGAGGGGCTGTGTGATCATGTATAAGGCTAGATATAAATCTGAGTATTGCTGGGATGGTGGGATATGCATTAAGTAAAGCACTTTGCAAACCTTAAAGTGCCATATAAATGCTACTCACCATCATCATCATCTTCTTCTTCTTCATCTTCTCCTTCTTCTTCATCTTCTCCTTCTTCTTCATCTTCTCCTTCTTCTTCATCTTCTCCTTCTTCTTCATCTTCTCCTTCTTCTTCATCTTCTCCTTCTCCTTCTCCTCCTTCTCCTTCTCCTCCTTCTCCTTCCTCCTCCTCCTCCTCCTCCTCCTCCTCCTCTTCTTCTTCTCTTCTTCTTCTTCTTCTTCTTCTTCTTCTTCTTCTTCTTCTCTTCTTCTTCTTCTTCTTCTTCTTCTTCTTCTTCTTCTTCTTCTTCTTCTTCTTCTTCTTCTTCCCACCATCCAAGCGGCTGATCGTGCACTTTCTGGGGTCAGTCCACAGACTTCACTTTGGAGGTCACCAATGTAGTGAACAGAGAACTGACCTGAACTCAAGAAGACTTGGGTTCAAATCTCACACCTCTTTTCTCTCCCTGCTTCAGTCCTCCAAAGAATCTGTGATCTCACAAATATGTCTACATTGAAGTCCACTATAGACCATCCAATATATTTTTCATTCTGCTTGATTCTTGTTCCTTTTATTTGGGGGAGGGAGAGAGCTGGGGAACTCTTCCATTAGGAAACTTCCTCCACCAAGGAAGATCAGCAAATGTTCCGACATTTAGAGGCTTAGAGAGTTGGGGGAGTAAGAGGTAAAAGGATTTCCCCAGGGCCACATGGTCAGTGTGTATCGAGACTCAACCAGCTCTTTAGGTGCAAATTTAACACACAAACCTTGCTGTTATTCATTCTGGACCTAACCTCCCACTGAGCATCCACAGAAGGTTTATCCAGGATGCCAAAGGCCTTTATTTAGCTCTTTTTCCCAAATATGTTGAGGATTCACTAATACATAGGTCACATGAAGATATTCTTCCACCATTTATAACCTTGAATGGTAAATGGTTCAGTATCTTCCCCAGCTCACTAATTGTTGAACCAAAATTTCCACATTTTTCTTTCAGAGGAGACTGTTCCTGAAGAGAATGCTGTGGTCAGTTTCAAGCCGTTTCAAGTAGAAGAAGAAATGCCTAAAAAGTAATCATTTCTGTTGTTATTGTTGACATAATGGTATTCATAAAGAAAGTGTGGTGTCGTAGCTGGAGACCCAGCCTCAACACCAGGAAGAGCCGGGTTCCAGTCCTGTCCCTGACTCACACTGGCTCTGTGACCTTGGGCAGGACATCTCATTGCCCCTGCCAACACTCCCAGAATTCAGCTGTAGATGAGGTGCCCTCTGTCGATGTCCATTGGTAGGGAAATACCTCTCTAAGTGTTCTTGACACTGGTGAAATTTCAAGTACCATCAAAAAACAACTGTAGTGTTTATAGTTATCCATAAAATAATTGATGGATTTCTATTTTCTTAGGGACAAATTAAATTGTTTAATTTGTTAAGAATGACTTCTGTTCTCCTGTCCTACAATGAGTGGTAATTCCCCACCCCCAAGACTAGAAAAGGGGATCCCAAACCTTTTTAATTATCTAAGGTCTGTCAATCAGTCAATAAACATTTTTAAGCACCTGCTATGTGTCAGGCACTTGTGTTCAGCTCTGGGGATACAAAGAGAGGCTCTCAAGGAACTCCTAGTCTAATGGGGAGATAGCACACAATTACATACACACTACAGACGAGACAAACTGGGGTAATCAATAGGGGAAAGGTGCTATCAGTAAGGGAAAAGGATAGATTTAAGCTGAGATCTGAAGGAAACCAGGGTGTGGAGATGAGGAGGGAGAGGCTTCTAGACATGGGGACTTGCCCAAAGTCACACGCATAACAAACAACAGAGGCAGGATTGGAACCCAGATCTTCCAACTCTGGACCCAGAGTTCTTGCCACTATCTCCATTTGAGCTTCCTCAGAAATGTTATCAGCTCTACTGACCCTAAAATATCTAATTTCCTCTGTCCTCTTCCTGTACCACCCCCATTTCATGTTACTATTTATCTATAAACATTCTGTATGCTCTAAATAGAATGTAAGCTCCTTGAGAGCAGGACCTACTTTTTAAATTTTTGTCTTGGTATCTCCTGAGCCCAGCACAATTGTTGGGACACAGTAGACACTTTAAACCCTTGTCTGAAATATTTGAAGAGTAGATATAATCCTACCTGTAGTAGGCCCCAGAAGGTCATGAGGGACAAGTGAAATAAACTATGTAATGAGCTCTGAGAAGCTCATAGTGTTGTTGAAATGCCCACTCTTCATTGAATCACAAATCTGCTGTTCCACTCATTGGGCCCAAACATTCCTACAGAGTGACCCCTTTCAGGTCTCCATGTTGAATCTTGTTTAAGACAACTTCTGTCAGTCCTCTCCTCCTAAGGTCCAAGTCAGTAAAAAGTCTAGTTGGAATGAGCAAGGCTTTGATGCTAAAAGACCAGCTTAGACCTCATTGTTGATGACTCCCTATCTCTGTGTCTCTGTCTCTCTGCTTGTCTCTCTGTGTCTCTCTCTTGCTTTCTCCCAGAAAACCTTGGTTCAAGCCCAGCCTCTAACACCTGACTAACTAGCTGTGTAACCAAGAACAAGTCACTTTATTTCTCAGGGCTTTGGGAAACCCTCTCCTAAATTGCAGATTCAGTGCCATCTACATTGGTCCAGAGAGTTTCTTTACCTAGGAATTCCCTGGACAAATGAAACCCCAAGTCCTTCCTATGGGATACCCAAGTAGAGGTGGCCAGCAGGAAGTTGAAGAAATTGGATTGAAGCTCAGGAGAGAGATGAGAACAGTCTATGTAGATTTGGAAGTCATTTCTACGGAGATACTTAGTTGAATCCAGGAGGACTGATGAGTTTTCAACAGAAAGAAACAGCATAGAGAATGAAGAGGCCCAAGATAGAGCCCCAGGTTACCCCCAAAGCTCTCCTCTTTGTCCGCCATGATAACATGATGACTTCCTAAATGGACTTGTGAAAATCTCAGTATGCTATTTACTCACCATTCCCCTGATCTAGCAGACTAGTACCACTGTCCAAAGGTTCTATGTGATTATTTGGATGGGATTTTTTTTTATATGCTTCAATCTGTATTCAGACTCCATAGTTCTTCCTCTGGGTGTGGATAGCATTTTCCATCATGAGACTTTTGGAGATGTCTTAGATCCTTGCATTCCTGAGAAGAGCTAAGTCTATCAAAGTTAGTCATTGCACAACGTGGCTGTTACTGTGTACAACGTTCTACTGGTTCTGCTCACTTCACTGAGCAACAGTCTATTCAAGTCTTTCTAGATTTTCTGAAGCCTATCTGCTCATCATTTCTTATAGCACAATAGTATTCCATTACATTCATACACCACAACTTGTCCAGCCATTCCCCAGTTGATGGACATCCTCTCAATTTCCAATTCTTTGCCACCACAGAAAGAGCTGCTATAAATATTTTTGTACATGTGGGTCCTTTTCACATTTGTATGATCTCTTTGGGATACAGCCCTAGAAGTGCTAATCCTGGGTCAAAGGGTATGCACATTTTTATAGCCCTTTGGACACAGTTTGGATGGGACTTTAAGCCCATGCTGACTCCCAGCGGTCATTCCCTTCCTGTATAAGTTCTCAGAAATCATTAACTTTATGGTGTGTTCTAGAATTTTTCCAGGAATAGAAGTCAAACCTATGGTCTATAGCTTGAAGAATCCATCTCTTTTGTCCTGTGAAAACCACAGTGATTTTTGAGCACCCTAGGCTTTTGACAATTTTTTTCTCCATGGTTTTTTCAAAGATCACCAACAGAGGATGGGTAATCAAAGCTGGCATTTCTTCCACAACCCTAACGTCTTTCTGTGTCTGATGCCTTGACATTGGAAGGAACATAAAGCACAGTCCCTGAAGACCACTGACACATTCCTCTGGTCCTTCATGTTGACTAAAGCCAAAATATCCAGGTCTATGAAGCTCTTGCTATTAATTGCTACAACAAACTACCCATTTGCCATGACTTCCTATTGTCTATAGCTTTGTTTCCAGGGTGGTGCTCATTGCTTTGTTAGTATAGTGGGTTTTCCCACCTTTTCCTGCTTTTTTCCACCTTTTTTCTCACTTGTCTAGCCTACTTACTTAGGCGTATCTAATTCGAACTGAACGGTTTTCCATCTATGCCAAATACAACCAGCTATTGTCCTGAGCTGTAATCTGAAAGGACTCCTGACAAAATCTGGATCTGCCATTTCTTGACTTTCCATTTTTGACACTAATTAGACACAAGACATCTTTTACTTCTTCTCCATGCCTTATGGTCTAAAAGGTTGAGTTGGGGGTTTTGTGGGATTGAAGAAGAGATGTCCTGTGGGCAGTTGGAGGCGTTTGTCTAGAACTCAGGAAGGAGATTGGGATTTAGAATTCTCCATTCATCTCCATTGAAACCATGAGGGGCAGTGAGATTGCAAACACAGAGGATAGTGACGAAAGAGAAAGGAACAAAGGATGCATAACCTGGAAGAACATCGACCTCTGATAAGGGGATGAGGAGTCATCAAAGGAAGAAAGAGAAAGAGTGGTCAGAAAAGTAGAAGAGAACCAGGAGGTTCCATTGTCTCAGAAGCCAAAGAAGAAGGAAACAAGAAGGAAGGGGTGCACAACAGTGTCAGATGATTTGGAGAGGTCAGGAACCATGAATACATAAATGTTGCTTGTGAGTCTAAATTCCTATGCAGAATCTTCGAAGCCACCTGGTCCCACTCTGCCTATGTACCTTAATTTCCTGTAACTTCTCATCAGAAGCCCATCACTCCAGTATGGTCATCTCCAAATTGGCTTGATTCTCTCCTCCTCCCCCTCCCCCCTCCATCACATGGTCCAATCCCATTTCGTAACAATAATGAAGATGATGATGAAGATGAAGGATGATGAAAATGTTACTTCAGTGCATTGATGTAGGCATTCCTCCCAGATTACAGTTCATACACACCTCCTCATCTTGTTCATCAAAGACTAGCTTATGCTTGCTTCTTTTTCCACATCATGGTACATCAAGGTGTCATAGTGGGCAAAGTGCGGGACTGGAATCAGGAAGCCCTGAACTCAAACCCTGCCTTAGCCACAAACTCCCAGTGTAACCCTGGCCAAGTCATTTGCCCTCTCTCAGCCTCAGTTTCCTCATTGGCAAAGTGGAGATAATGACAGAACCTACCTCATATGGTTGTTTTGAGGATCAGATGAGATAATATGTAAAAGCACTTTGCAAACCTTAAAGTGATCTATGGATGCTAGCATTTAAAATACTCAGAGTGAATAGCACTGTGCTAGGAATGTCATAAGCACTAAATAGAAACCGATGATTGGTGGAAATAACAAATCAACTTTTATTTCTTTTTATTCCCAGTGTTCCTACAGGATGTATATACAGTCGATTTAGAGAAAAAGAATTCAACTGAGCAGCTTTCATTATTTTCACAGATCACTTTCAGAAATAACTTTATGAGTGTCTTTTTAAAGAAAAAAATCTTTAAAAATCATTGCTTTGTGTATACTATGCATTCTTTCAGTTCTACCTTTCAAGAGGAAACTTTTAATAGTTCAGAAAAAAAGAAACTCTGAAGCCAGATAGTTTGAAATTCAACAGGAAAGACCCTAAGGGATGTAGAAGGTCATGGGTTTCTTTTAAACAGACAAAAGACAATGGAGCTCATTGTACTTGAAGATGGCAAACACACACACACACACACACACACACACACACACACACACTCTCTCTCTCTCTCTCTCTCTCTCTCTCTCTCTCTCATTCTCTTTCTTTGTCTCTTTGTCTGTCTCTGTCTCTCTGCCTCCGTCTCTGTGTGTGTGTGTGTGTGTGTGTGTGTGTCAGTCTGTCTCTCTCTCTCTGTCCACATAGTTATTAGTTTCATGAGATGGTGTGTTGACAGTTTCTTTCCTCTCCAGGTCATTGTTAGCGGCCACATGATCTGTGATAGCAAATCTCAAACTTTTTCATGTAGGAGACAGAATACGCCTTCCATGTCAGCTCCCCCATTGCCAACTGCAGAAATATTTTGTTGGCCAATTCTTCTGAGTTACCTGCACGGTGGGGTCATGTGAAGCTCCCCCCACATTACGGCAACTCGAACAATCAGGATAAATCTAGTCTGGCCAGTTTTCAGTCTCCACTTGAATGTGATCATAGGAGTGAAGATGTCTTTGTAGAATCTCATTTTTAAAAAAATTAATTTGTACTTTTAAGAAGTATTAGAGACATTTCACACTTGGTGCTAACAAAAATTCCTTCTGACCCTTCAATGCAAATGAGAAAGTCACAGAATTTGGCAGTCAGAAGGCACTTAAGCCTGCCCTGAATCCAGCGCACAGCCCAGAGGAGCCACCATTAGGATGTACCTGGAAATGGCCCTTTGGCCCTTGAGTGAAAGGACACTTGCATTAATTTCCATCCAATCCACCCTGATGAGCTGCCACTTGTTATTCTTCTGCTCAAGAGCTTTCAGTGGCTCCCTATTGCCTTCAGCAAGAAGTACAACCTTCCCAGCTGGATACTGAAGGCCTTTCACAATATTTCTTCAACCTGTTTTCAGACTCATTTCATATTACTCATGGTACATGGGGAAGGGCCCTACCTCTTGAGTCAGAAGACCTGGGTTCAAATCCCACCTCTTTTGTTTACCTTGGGCAAATCAGTTTCCTCATTTGTAAAGTGAGGGGGTTGGGCTAGATGGCCTCAGAGGCCCCTTCCAGCTCTGGAGCTATGATCTTTCACGAGCACTGTGTTCTGGGCTAACTGGACAACGTCTTAGCTGCTCTCTGAGCTCAAAAAGGCATTTCCTGCCTTAACACAAACCGTCTCCCATGTCTGCTATGTTCCTTATTGATGACCCACTCCTCCTCTTTGGTCCAGGTGTGGCTCGGCTGCTATTGCCTCTGTATTGTGTTCTCTGGTGCCCCCAGGAAGGGCTGGCTTCAGTATTTTCTTGCCTTATGTCTCCCGGGAGCCAAACCTGCCTCCCTGTTGTTCTAACATCTCAGTGCTTTTCCACAAGCTTTTTCTTTGTTGGAATGTGTTCCCTTCTCATCTCTGCCTTGTGTCCTTCAAGGCTCAGCACAAAGGCTACCATTAACCCCGATCTATCTCCATCTCCCCCTCTCCCACCTTCCCAATTCAGCTGCCGGTGCTTTCTGTTCCTTCTGTGATTGATTTTATTTACTTAGCTGTACCTACATGTTGTCTCCCCCAATAGAATATTACTCCCTGAGGGTGCAGACTGTTTCATTTTTTCCTGAACACTGGTCTTCCTGACTCGAAGCCCACAGCATGGCCTCGATCAGTTATTATAATGAAGTGATGTCCCACTTAGGACATTTCTACACTCCCCTGGAAGGTTTTCTGATGAGTTCTGGTTCTGGGGCCTCTGTGTGCTAAGCCAGTATGAAATTTGACATTTGCAAGTTGATCATTATCTGATTTAACTTTTATTTTTCTTTTCAGAAACATTAAAGGAATTTCCTTTGATGAATACTACAAGACATGGTCTGGAATTGCAACGTCACAAACAGCCAACTGTTTCAAAATTCCAGGTCAGGTGATCTTGCCTTATCCTGCGTCCTCTGTGGGGTGGGGAGGGTGGACTAAATATCCAACTTTCCCCCTTTCCTTTGGCTTTTCCAGTTATCAGGGGCATGATTAAGGCCCTGCTTGAGCCTATTGATTCACTATAATTCCATGAGTGTTTGCTGAGTACTTCTTATGGAAGGGTCACTGGGCTGAGAGGAGGGTAGGAGTAAAGAAAGTCTGTAAGACAGAAGACACAGTCCATCACTTTGAGATCCTTACATTCTGACATTCAGAACTCCTTGACAATGTCCTTATCCAAAAAAGAACAGAAATCATGACGATATAAATATTTAATTACTACCCCCTTGGAGGGAAAGTATAAGCAAGAAAGACAAAAATATAGAAAAAGGCAAAAGAATAGAGTCAATTTAATTTGTGAAACTTTGAAAAGGCTTCTTCTATATGCCAATGACTGTGCTTGGTGCCGGGAAAATGAAGATATCATGAAACAGTCCCTACCTGCATAGAGCTTCCAATCTTCTGGTGTTGTTGGGGAAGAATGAGCCACGTATACATGAGTTTGATAAGGTAGTATGTGCTAGAGAATGAAATAATCACTCAACAAGGGCTGATTTGCTCATCATCTGCTGCATGCCAGGGACTATGCTAGGTGCTGAGGATCGAAAGGCAGAAATGCCCTCAGGGAGTCTTGAAAGAAGCCATGGATGTCCGTGGGTAGAGTGGCCAGACTCCAGCTAAGAGATAACTGGAGCCTGGTAGGCAGCGCCAGTGTGAGGAGTCCTAGCCTCTGTCTTCCGTGCAGATTAGGAGGCAAGAGCAGGTGAACAAACATTTGTTGAGTGCCCACTCTAGGTGAGCACCACACCTGAGGAAACCGGACAGCTGTCCAGCCCTCCTCCTCTGTTCCCCCCTGCCAACACACACAGGGTGAAAAAATGTTCATTCAAAAAAAAGTCCATTTTTTACTTCGAAGCTCGAAGCTCTCTGATCCGAGATAGCCAAGACACCTACATTCGAATGTTTCCTCCACATTGTATTCCAAAGTCAAGAATGAATCTTTTTTCCCCTAACTATCCATCATCCCATGTTATTACAATATAGTTCCCCTCTAAGATTTCCGTCTTGGAGGAAGCCACACTCTCCAAAAGACAGGTATTTGGTAATTTGTCAGTGGTTCTAGGATTTTCATTTACGAAGTTTGCAAAACAGATCAAATTTCTATTTCTCCCAGGAATGTGGGGCTTCTTATTTAGAAATGAAAATCCTTCTCTTCCTCTGTAACTAGGACTCTTGCACAAATCAGTCCATCCTCACACCTCCCCAAATCCTACATCAATATCATTCTACACAGCAAGACTTGAAGGCAGGACTTGATCTGCCAGCAGGTGTTGACCCACACCCCTGATTCCATCCTCCCCCTGAACTTGAGGGGTCATGGGGGCCTACTGGTTACACTTGACTCCTATTGGAGATGCCCATGTCATTTTTCTATCCTTTCTCCTGGTTGATAACTTGGATACCACTTCTTGTGTTATTGTTATTAATGTGTTGCAGCCTGCTTATGCTCACCGTACAACTCTGCCCTTTGGGGTCACCTGCAATCTTCTAGGAGAATCCTTTCCTGACCTCCCTTTGTTCCAGAGCTTTTCCTCTCTTAATCATCTCCAATTTGTCTCTTTGAGCCGTCACCCATCCTCTTGACTTATGTCTCACCACTGGACTCCAGTGACTCTGAAAAACAGAGGGAGGCTAATGACTTTGTGCAGCTCCACCTCACTTAACTGCAATTCACTCACAAGGCAAGACATTACCCTTGCGATGTCACTGATCCTCTTCACGAATGAGGGATGAACACCAACAATAATTTGTCCCATAGTTAGCTCGATTGTACATGGTTGTTTGCACGTTGTTTTCTCCATTAACGACTGCAAGCTCCTTGAGGGCAGGAGTTGTCTTTTGCCTTTCTTACCACAGTGCCTGGCACACAGTAGGTGCTTAAGAAAGACTTAATGACTAACTAACTGATTCTTCAAATATTGTGATATTTTGTGATTTAGAGATATGTGACATATGCCATCAGTGGAAGAAGACTGACATTAAAAATTAGGTTTTTGTTTCAGGGCTAAGCTGGGGAGCCTTGAAAAGGCAATGTAATTTCCTTAATGCAATTCAGCCTATTCTTATCCTCCTCATAATGTCTAGACCTAGCTCACTCTTGTTTGACAGTGTCTGCCCAAGCTGTATATATTGATGAAGTAGCTCAGTAGGCTCTGGATTGAACCACATACCATATTCTTGGAAACTGGCATTCTTCATCCACTTGGTTTTCCCTATATATGTGGGAGACTCTTCGGAATAGTTATACAAATTCTTTCAAATAGTTACAGGTCTCATGTGATATTCTGGGGTTCGATGCTATTAGTATAATTTCGCTTGTATCCCAGAGCTTCCGGAGGACTTTGTCTTTTATAGGAAATACACTTTCCATTTGGACTCTGAATTGAACATTCTACAGGACAGTTGCAAACCTTTTAATGACTACACATTTCCCTAAATATCGATAAGCATGTGATCATCAAACAAAGTTATCTCCATTGTTTCCTTGATTGAGGAAATTTTATATGATGGAAACACACATGGGCGAGACCTTGTTGGAGAAGGGTCTTCAGGGCTTTGCTTAAAAGAAAAACCGGTATATAGGAAATACAGTGCAATCTCTTGTTTTCTGTCCGTTTTCACTGTGTGATTGTGAAAATGCAGTCTGTTGTAGAAAACCTATGTTTTAATAATCATAGCTAGCATTTAGATAACAATTTAAAATTTTCAAAGTGTTTTACAAATATCTTTGTCTATCCTTACACAACAACCCTGAAGCAGAGAGATTAAATAACTTGTGTGAAGTCACATTTGAACTCATGTCTTCCTGACCCCCAAATCCAATGCTTTATCCACTGAGCTACCCAGTAGCATTCCCATGTTTTCACCAAGAATCACTGATCTAGAGCTGGCAGGAACCTCAGAGGGCAGCTAGTCCAATCTCTTCATTTCACAGATGAGGAAACTGAGGCATAGAGTAGTACAGTGATTTGCCTAAGGTCGTGCAGGAAGTTAGTAGCTGATGTCCCAAACCAAGGTCCAGCATTCTTTCTATTGCGCCACGTGGCCTTCCTTCAAAACCTGTAGTTTGTGGGTCATTCTCATAAAGAATTTATGTTGATAGAAAATAAGTATATGGACCCATAGTTGATCACCAAAATTATCTCTGATGTCTCCTTACTTTCCTTTTTTTCACTAGTATTTCTTTTCATGATTTTTGAATTATTCACTTTCCTCTCCTCTTTTTGATACTTCAAGAATTATTCTGTCAAGGTCCTCAAAATTTTGTCAGCATGGCTTTCCTCTTTGTATCCTTGGCTTGGTCTAATTTCTCCCCTCACTTTTGCTTCTTTATTCTCATTTCCACTCATGCAGCAGCACACAAGGGCCAAGATGTTGGCTCCAAATGTAGCAGCTCACTTCACTGATGAATAAGTCTTTTTTTACATATGTTGTTAGAACTATTCTATTTCTTTTGTATTTTTAGCTCTCCTTACAACTTGATCTTTAAATATTCTTATTTCAATCTGCCTTAAATGGGATTCATATCAAGATTTCTATAAACTATATAAACTTATATTATATATATGTATATATATATATATATATATATATATATATATAAACGAATCCTCCACTCACCTTTTTTGCCATTTTATAAGGCAACATTTCTCATCATTTCCCAATATCATCCTTCATAAGATTTTGCAAGTTAAGCTCATGCCCTAAACCATTGGTACTCTTGGCTTGGCTGCCATGTCCCTTTTCTTGGCAAGGAGATGAAGTGTTTGGTTGGTGAGATAGTCTTTTGAGACATTTGGAGAAGTGGGTCTGGATTTTAGAAGATGAGGCATAAAAGGACATTTATATTTGGGAGACATATTGAGCACTAGGAATTCCAAGAAAGACAAAAACTCCCAAGGAGCTTACATTTTAATGGAGGAAACAACATACAAATAAATAGGTATGTACAAAATATATAGAGAGACAGTAGATTGAAGGTAATTTGACCAGGAAAGGATTTAAGTGATGATCAAAGATAAGGAGATGAGTAAGTTTCAAGGGCGAGTCAGTAGGAGAGAAGAGGGCCAAAGAGAAAACATATGAATGTATCCTGAAGAGGAAAAAGAGTCAACAGAGGAAATGTGAAGGGGAAAATGAAGAGATTCTGGTACCTCTGTGGTCAACAGAGAGAGACAGAGAGAGAAACAGAGAGAGAGAGAGAGAGAGAGAGAGAGAGAGAGAGAGAGAGAGAGAGAGAGAGCGAGAGCTTCACACAGGAGGGAAATGTTGATAACATCAGAAATAGCAGACAAGTCAAGAAGGAGGACTGATTTTGAAAAAAAAATGTCTTTTATCTTGGTAGTTATGAGGTCATTGATGAGTTTCGGAAGAACAATTTTAATAGATTTTTGAAAATGAAATCTCAACTGTAAGATAATGATAAAATAATTCTTTGAAAAAAGTTTAGGATGTAGAATTAAATGGAGCATTTCTGATCATTTAGAAAGAGAAGTAATAATCATGAATAGCCAATATTGCTTCATCAAGACTAGGTCATGACAGACTACCTTGATTTCTTACTTGTCAGCATTAATAGACTAATGTATTGGGAGAATATCACAGACAGTGTATACCCAAACTTTAGCAAAGCAACTGATCATTTCTTATACTAGTCTTCTGGGCAAAATGGAGTGGTCTGGTGGATTTGGAAGAGGTTGAAAGACTGGGCACAATGAATAGAGCGTGTTGGAGTCGGGAGGACCTGAGTTCAAATCCAGCCTCAGACACATAACACTAGCTGCGTGACTCTGGGGAAGTCACTTAACCCCAATTGCCTCGCCACTTCCCCCCCCCCAAAGAAGAAGAAAGATGGGGGAAAAGTAGTCATTAATGGATAAATGTT